TTTCCCCTTCATTTATTCATCAAATTAGTTGTCACTTGTAAGTGAGCAGATTCTTCATAGATGGTAACTTTTTGTCAAGTGTTTACACCTATGATGATGAAAAGTAATAATGAGGTTTGCATTGAACCTTTGAGTTGGATCAAACTCAATTTTTTATGTAAAAGGGTATTATAATTAGACACCTTATACCCTTTGATTTCGTGTTTAGAAAACATCATGTATAGAAACATAATTTACTTTGTTCAACAAATATTTATTAAACATCAACTAAATGTTAGATACTATTTTAAGTCCTGTATATGCAAAGATGAATAAAAATAAAACTCCTGCCCCGTGGATTTCATAGCCTAGTGCAGAAGAGATAGGCAAATTAATGTCGTACTTGTCTCCTTTAATTGGCTCCTTTACAGGCTTGCCTTCCTTTGTCAATTCCTTGAAAAGCTTTCTTTCAGTTTTTTTTCTTTGACTCTGTTCATATTTTGCCCACTGACTTCAGATGGCCTCATGTAGGCTAGTAGTTTCAGATACCATCTATAAGGTGAATTTTAAATCTATACCACTGCCAGCGCTTGTCCAAGCTCCAAACTCATATCATATTTTTTTTTTTTTGAGACGGAGTCTCGCTCTGTCACCAAGCTGGAGTGCAGTGGCGTGATCTCGGCTCACTGCAACCTCCTCCTCCTGGGTTCAAGTGATTCTCTTGCCTCGGCCTCCTGAGTAGCTGGAACTACAGGCGCGTGCCACCATGCCCAACTATTTTTTGTATTTTTAGTAGAGACGGGGTTTTACCATGTTGGCCAGATGGTCTCTATCTCTTGACTTTGTGATCCACCCACCTCAGCCTTCCAAAGTGCTGGGATTATAGGCGTGAGCCGCCGCACCTGGCCCCAAACTCATATTCTAAATGTATTATGTATCTGCTGCTAGTAAATGTAACATAACAAATACTAAACTTACTTTCTCTACCTCTACAATACTTGTTTTTCTACATCATCTTAAGTCTGTCCCTTGTTCTGCATTCCTTCTGTTATTGTTTTAGTTTAAATCTTTATTATTAACTTCCTGAACTGTTGTAACAGGCTGTCCTCCCCCTAGCTCAAATCTTCCCAATCCGTTCTCCAATTTGATGCCAAAGTAATCTGTTCAAATTTTCTAATTTCTTATTAACACTTCCTACATACAACTCTTCAGCAATTTTCCCATAACCTCAAGATAAAATTCAAACTCCTTGACATGTCATGAAAGGCCCTTTATAATTTGATTTCTTCTAATTTTTTTGTTTCTTATCTTACCTCCTTATCATCCTTGCTTCTCCCTAAACCTAACATGACAATTCTTACTTCTTATTCTCTCTTACTCTAAGCCTTTTATATATATATATATATATTTTTTTTTTTAAGAGATTAGGTCTCACTATGTTGCCCAGGCTGGGCTTGAACTCTTGGTCTCAAGCGATCCTCTTGCCTTGGCCTCCCGAAGTACTAGTATTACAGGTATAAGCCACTATGCCTAGCCCCTTTGCTTATATAGTTTTTGCTTAGAAAAACTTTATCTTACTTCTCTACATATTAACTACTGCTAATTACCACATATTCTTTAAGATCAAGCTTAAGATGCTTCTCTTTATAAAGTATTTTCTGATGTCTGCTTCTCCCTTTTCCCTTGCTGGTTTAAACATGTCCTTTCTTTGTGTTCCCATAGCACCTTGTTCATATGTTTTATGAGACAACTGACTGACATATTTGTTCATTGTTAATTTTAAATGCCCTAATAAATAACATGGACATAAAAAAAGCAGAGTGCTGTAAGTGTGAATCACTGTAAATTGAATTGTCATAAGTCAAATAAAGCCTAGAAAAAAGAATAGAAGTTCATTCTCAGTATGCTTTAGAATATTTTCTTTGCCAATTACATTTGCATTTTACTGAGCAAACCCTTATAGTTGGTTTTGATTTCAGCTAGATGCACCTCTAAACTATTTAATTTCATTCATTAATCACTGAGTAGGAAAAAGTATTTGGGGGAAACCAAAAGGCCTTCACATTCTATGAAATTACAAATATTTTGCCTCTGCAAACACTTTAACACCTACAATTGCAGAAGCCCTTAGAGGAAAGCCAATGTTTAGTAACCAAAGTCTGGGACCAACTGAATCTAAGAATGTATATATGAAGCTGTGACATCTCTAAAATGACTTTTTGTATGTCTAAGAAGGTTCAAAAATAATCCCAGAAAACTAAGGACTTAACATGTAGATAAAATGCTGAAAGTGATTGTTGTGAAGGTCATAGACCTTAGGGAAATCTATGAAGGAATTTCAGAGTATATAGTACATGAAATACTTTGTATATAATAGTAAGAGGGTAACTTGAGATCAAATAGTCTCTCTTATTCAAAGACAAGGGAAATTAGAACCAAAGAGGTATAGTAAGAGAAATGGTTATGGTTACAATAACTAGAACCCAGGATCCTTAACTCCCAGTCTGGTATTCATTTCATTATAGCATACTGCATCTCAAATCAATGTAAAAATTATTCTTATAAAGCAAGTGCCTAGAAGTGTTTGCATATATAAGGTGTTTTCTATTTGTTTATCTATTTGACTACAGACGAATTTTCTATTGTCTCCGATCTGTCTTTTAGCATATTACTATTTTCACCCTATCTGCCAGCAAGGCTTTTAAGGAACAAGTATTCCACTGATAGGCATTCTTGGCATAACCATGGATGATAACATTTGTAAGACTACGATTTGTGATTCATTTTCTTTATTTGTAAAATGCATGATATGAATAAATTACAACTTCACACTTGGTACAGTACCAACTGCTATAAGGCAGATTAAAATATTCTGGCACCGTTCCCTGAAATTCCCAATCTTTTTCGGTATACAATGGAAAAACTAGATGTTTTTTTTTTTAATAGAAAGGATTTTGCTCTCTTGGGAATTTCATTTTAGAATATAAGCTCTAAGCTTTTTTAAGATTATATGATTAAAGACTTCAGTGTCTCTGACCTAGGTTTTTTGTTTTTCCACTTTAGCAGTTCTAGTCAAGAAACCTTTAAGCTTTGCTGTTGGAATTAAGTCTGGAACAGTGAAGTATCTCTTTTAGAATACTGCCCACAGCACAAAGGCACATGTTCCCGTCTATGACTTCTAGCTAGTTAGCTGCCTGAACATAGGCAGTTATCTTAAGCTGAGATTTGCTGCCCTTTAGAAGAAATTCTGAAGCTCTTGATTCCAAGCAGTAGGAAGTCCTTACCAAGGTCAGACTGGGAGTTCATTAACTCTTCCTGATGGTTCAGGGGCTGTCAGAGAATAAGGAAAAAGGAAATAAGATATACTAGAAGGAACTTTGCCATCAAACACTCTTTGGCTCTTTTACTTGCTTTACTTTGTACTAGCCAAGTGACCCTGGGCAAGCTACTTAGCCTTTCTGGGTCTTATCTCCCTCCTATGCAAAATGTAAATAATGTCTACCCAATATAGGGTTATTGTAGGATACTATTAAAGGATATAATATACATATTAGTAATTTCA